TTCACTAATCTTACCCAACCACGGTAAACGAAGATAGACCGGACATTTACCTACTGAAGCAGGTTTGATTTTGTTGAACCTAGCGGTCTCATCTCGAATAACCAATTGAACAATGTTCAACGGATAGCCATTGTTCACAAAGATCTCAGTTAAACAACTGATTTCATGATTCAAGGTGTCATCCGAACAGATCATTAACGCCCTATGTGTCAGGGTCCTAACCATATATAAATACACACCATATATTTCTGCATTTAAGGCAATCTTTAGATAAAACAAGGTAAAAAAATATACCTAATTTTCATGAATTTATCCTATACCTGTAGCATAAGAACTGCTTATTGATTATATAAAGATGATGTTATTGGAAATATTGTTACTTACTGTATCCTTAGAAGTTCAAAATAACCAAAATAACTAAACAGATTCTATATGATGTTCTTACATACGTCCCCTAAAAAAGAAACCATTGTTCTGTTTATGTTTCATCACATGATCTCTTGTAAATAATGATTCTTCTTCTTTTCCAATATCTAAATAGTTACAAACAGCTTGTTGTACTAATGGCTATTTACTTATACTTTGACAATCACAAAATACTGCTAATAACAGTACAATAATGTATGATAATAGTACATTACAGTGAATGCAATCATAACTGAATATTTACATTTTCTCAGCTGAGCTTGCATGGATACAAGTTGATTTCATTGATATGGAATTATTTTTCAACTAGGCAATTTATTACAAAGTTATGGCAGTAATATATAACGTAGAAATGGTTTTATTACCTTTATTATCAGTTTATTTGATAATGTGAATCTTTTCATATACGTTATTGGTTATCACACAGAGGCCAAGGTGAGCCTACCATCAGTCATCACTGAGAATTTAAAATTTTTTTAGAATTGTAGTACAAGACATCACTAATTTTTAAGGATGAGTTTTGGAATTTAAAGATCATCTTTTTTGCTGAAATATATAATGACCTAGATAGTAAATATGTAAGAATGACAATGAAACCAAATACTTGGATATTAATTAGATATGCATATTTAGCATGAAATTTTTTTTTTTTTTTTCAGGCAAGAAGCCAAGTATGCAATCAAATTAAGTGAAAACAAAATGGCTAAAATACTTCAAATACATTCTTAATATTCATGGGGAAAGCATTGGTTAAAACATGCCAAGCTCCCTGGCACTGGAAGAGTTAAGTCCTTGGCAAACTGCACTGAAAAGTCACATACTATGGTTCAGTGAAGAAACAGCCAAGCAACACATATGCACATAAGATTTGTGCATATTAAACTGATATAAAATATTTCCTATGCACAGAAAGTGAAATGAGAACAGTCTTAACTTGTGGATTGAATAAAGGGTTTTGCATTTGAAATTCTAAAGAAGGTTACCTAGTACAAAGAAGAGATGCCCAAAGAAGGCCAGAGGATACAACAGCTAAAACACGAATAAAACACACACATTATATATATATATATATATATATATATATATATATATATATCTCATTAAATAATATAGACATATTATGTCTATTTATTTTTATAATAATCCTTTCTAGTTCTCTAATTATGTTTTTGATGTTAAGTTGAAATTCATCAAAGAAGGTAGCAACCAACAGTGAATAAAATTTATTATGAGTATAGTAGCAATGTTTTAAAATGCATTTGAATTGGCTAACAATTAACATCTTTTTAAAATTTACCATTTTGCAATTTTATCATCTCTGGTTATCACCATTTGATTGGGAATGCTCGTTTGCAAAACATCATAACCACAACAGTTAATTTTAAAATAATTATAGCAGACATATTTGCAGGTGTCTGCAAAATCACTGTAACATCAATAATAGTTACATTAAACTTGTCTTTGCAATTCATCCCTGAAGATGATCTGAGGAGATCGAAAGTACTTGCATTAACAAAAAATACAGTGCATTCCATTTCAACTTATCAAGAAGCTAATTAGAGAACTAGAAAGGATTATTATAAAAAGACATGATATATCTACATTATTTAATGAAACATGCTCGAATGAAGATATGCTTCTTAAATATATAAAAGTGTGAAACCCAGGGTCACAAACTCACATCAATCCAACCAAATATGTTAGCTCTATCTCTGATATTGAGCACTTTCTAATACGCATATAATATATAAATAATTATATATATATATATATTTTTTTTATCACTTTAAACCAGGATTTCTCAACATTTTTTGGCCACGTTCACATGGAAAAATTTTTGGCCTAGTAGATATTCAAAAGCATACCAAAATTGTTACTAGTTCATAAACTAACAGGTGCTACCACCCTGGCAATTAAGAGGTTGTTCTATACTCCTCAAAAACCTCCCAATCAGAGGCCTTGCTGCCGGATGTAGTTTATTGTCATATCCAGGATGGACTATGTTTGAGAATATCAATATCACTCATGCATGTATAGATATGTTTGTTTATCTCTGGTTCACACTCCTTCCTGATATTTAGAACAGAGTAGAGGTTTATCCCTTATTCTCCCGTTTAGGATTGGGTTTCTGGTTCCTTCTGAAGTTTTTTCATTCTCTTTCACTCCAAGTAGCCCCTAGCATCTTAGTGGAATTATTGGCTCACTTGAGATGAAGTAATTAATAATAATAATTATTATTATTATTTATAAAAAAGACCAAATGGAGGAAACATGTTATGCTGACTTATGTGATGGCTGCTACTGTTACCGTTGTATTAAAGAACACAAAAGCAAGCTTTACCATTGAAAACTCATGTGTTGTCAATGGTGAAGTTTTACTTAGAAAAATTACTTAAAAGTATTTAAAAATTAGATTTTTTAAAAAAATATTTAAGAAAGAGTAAGTAAAAAGGTAAAATTAAAAATTAAAATAATATATAATATACAAATAATAATACATATAAATAATTATTAAATAAAAATAAAATAAAGTATTGAATATAAATGATTAAATATAAATAAAATATAAATAAAATATTCAATATAAATTAAATAAAAAATTATGTAAAAAAATATTAAAGTAATTATTAAAATAAAATAACAAAAATAAAAAATAAAACGAAGTATTAATAATAATAAAATAATTAAAAGAGCAAGATGATAAACGAGTAAGAAAAGTAATGGAGGTAAAAAAATGAAAAAACCATAATAATGATAAAAAATATATTGGAGATAATTTTTTTTTTTGCTCTTCCCTTATCTGAATTATATCCAGAAAAAATGTTATTTCATCGGAAGAACAATTTGAATGTTAATGACCCTTCTCAAAACTATATAGAAAAAAAAAAAGAAAAAAAATATCATTGTTTCTGAGGATATTTATATATTTAGGAATGTAATCCAGTTATTCACATTTAATCTCCAGTTTTTTTTTTTTTAACCTCAAATGCTGGCAATGCAAATAAGGCGAATAAATTTTTAGTCTTGCTAGAGTTTTACATTCTCTTACAGAGCTATGGCAACATTGGCTTCTTGTTGCTGCTACATAAATGCAACATAACATGTAATGAATGACTTCTTTGTGTGTCTCTGATGATCTTTTTTTTTTCTAGGACTGCCCTACTTAGATGGAACAAAATTCATTACATGGCAAATTTTGTGCCAACATTCTCAGGGAGATTAACATCAAGACCCTTACGAATATCTCTATTGAGTTTTCAAAGTCTCTCTTACCATTTGCTTCCAAATAGGATGAAAAATCTAGAGCTAAGTTTTGCCAGTCATTTTGCATGATGATTGTCTTCAGTGTGTTCTTCATGCAATGTTTATACTTCAATTTCAGCTTGTCAGCTGGTCTTTTCCCTTCAGCCAAATCATGGAAAATGCTTTTGGATCCTATCATCCTTCATCCTGACCACATTTTGGTAGACTGACTACGTTTGATTGGTTTATTTGGTTTTACAGCATATCAACCTCAATGGTATTTAGAACAGAGTAGAGGTTTATACCTTATTCTTAGGATTGGTTTTCTGGTTCCTTCTGAAGTTTTTTCATTCTCTTTCACTCCAAGTAGAGGTTTATCCCTTATTCTCCCGTTTAGGATTGGGTTTCTGGTTCCTTCTGAAGTTTTTTCATTCTCTTTCACTCCAAGTAGCATCTTAGTGGAATTATTGGCTCGCTTGAGATGAAGTAATTAATAATAATAATCATCATATATATATATATATATATATATTCAATTCCTGTTGGAGGATGAATATTTCTATGAAAATTTCTCAGACATTCAGGCCGGTAAATGTTGTTTAATACTGTTTATTATAAACAGAGCATTTGCTTAAATATTTGTATCTATAAAAAGAATGTATAAACATAAAAATGTCTTAAAATAAATATATATATATATATATATATATGTCATTAAATATGACAGACAAGGAAAACTTTTTATTTAGTTCTTTCAGTGTTCCTACATTTTCCATTTGGTGTGAGTGAGGAGTACAAAAACTGTCCATACCACCCCTTATCCCAAACACCACTTCCTTAGCCATATGGAGAGTTTTTGTACTGGCTCACTCCCATCAAATGGAAAAATGTAAGAATGCTGGAATAACTAATTAAAAAAATTAATGAAATTTTCTTTGTCCATCATACCTAAAGAGAGATGTTTAAAAGAAAGTTAGCTGCCCAAATATATAACAGTTTTTGATTCTTTACCCATAAAATGTAGCCTTCTCCACCATTCCAGATATTTTCACATCATTTAGTTATAGCTTAAGCTTGAATTTAACTTGACAACTAGATTCCCTCTTATATAACTTAAAACACATGCATGGTATGTTATAAATGCAGTTCTTAAACTTTCAGTGCAAGGGACTAATTCTAGTAAAACGGATACAAAAAAGGTAGTATTACTGTTAAATACCACTGTGATTTTTATAACAGCAAGTAAATATACTGAAGAAGAGGTTGTATTGTCGAAACAATGCTGAATAAGTTGATCAGTTTTCTCAAGGTTATAGAGAAAGGATTCTTACCTGACGAATAGCATTGGCATGTCCATAATGAACCATATCAAAGCTGAAAGAAAAAAAAAAAAGAAATTGAATAAAATTTAATATGAAAGGAAATAAATTAAAGATGGATGTGGTAGCAGCAGAAATCATGTAATAAAAACAACAATGATGAGGAAAATCCACAAAATTTATAAATATAAAAATTCAGAGCAAATATGTTTGAATAAAAACAGACCACTTTAAGGTTACATGTAATAAGTTATTTCACCACAACCCTTTTAAAGGGCTTTGGATCATCAGACTATTTCCAAAGGTTGAAATGAAATATATATATATATATATATATATATATATATATATAGGGTGTCCATAAAGTTTGTGTGTACTTTAAAAAATTTATAACTTTATTTGTATTTGCAATAGAAATAATCTGTAAAAAATGTTATAAGGTTTAATGTACCTAGTTTTAAGTATAGCTAAAATAACTAATGTGATTTCAAGCATTACTGTAAATCAGTTGGCAAATGTTTTCCATGAACTGCAAAATCGTATTACCCTTTGTATTGCTAATGATGGAGGGCATGTGGAAATTTAGATAAAATTTCAATAATTTCAATAAAACCTTAAAAAATATAGATTTACTTCTTTCTAATCCTTTTTACAAATTATTTCTATTGCAAATACAAATAAAGTTATAAATTTGTTAAAGTGCACACGAACTTTATGGACACCCTGTAATATATACACACACACACAGTGAGTCATCAACTTATGACAGAATTCCATTCCTACGTGTCATAATGCAGTTTTCCATGCAAGTCAATTTCTGTGAATAAGCACTTACATCACTCAGCTATGCTAACACAATAATAAAGTAATAATCTATGACAACTCATTCTTATGACATGTGTTAACATAATTAGGACTAAAAAACACATTAATTGATTTGATTGTTTAATGCCCTATCAACTCCATTACGGTCATTTAATGCAGAAATTTAATTTTCTTGGGAGCTTTGAAGTAATAAAAATATGATATGTTATTCTGCTTTCGCAATTGAATACATGGTAGATGATACTCAGCTTTTGTGCATATACATGTTTGTGTGGACATAATTATTAGAGGCAGTGATATGTGTGTTTTGTGTTGTAGTTTTGTTAAAGTTATATTTTGGAATACAGTTTGATTTAAAAAATTGTAGGATATTACATGGATTAATTTCACGATAGTTCTTTCATGTAGACTAATTGATTTTATTTAGCCATATATGAACCTCTGTGGTAATTTAACACCGAAATCAAAATGTTGAACAATTTTATGGTTTCAACTAAATATATTTTGAACACAATTGTATGCCTTCAATTACAAACAATATGCATTGTTGTTAATTCTACTATAAAAGGTCTTGCTGGTCACGTTACTATAAAAATGTATTTTTATACATTTATAGTGTTTTGATTAGGAGGAGGTGGGGGTTATTATTTGGCCATAGCTGGGACCCTAACAGTTCCTACCACCCTGGGCCCGAGTGGACCGGGGAACAACAGCATTTAAGAGGTGGTCTCACACTCCTCACTCAAAACCTCCTGATCAGAGCCCTTGCTGCCAGATGTAGTTTATAGAAAAAAAAATAAAAAAAAAATGGAGGACATAAATATAATGAAATGAAATGAGATACAATCCTTATCCTTGATAATCATCATGACAGTCAAATGACAACAGCCAAGCAACTAGCCAATGTTCATCATGGCTTCACTCTTTTCAGAGTATTTAACAATGTCTAATTTCATTTCTATGCTCTCCTTTTCTTAGAAGAACCACCATTAGAAGTGGTATGCTTGGGAGCTATAATGAAAGGCAATAAGTTCCCACAAACACAACACAAATGAAAGAGAGTGAATGCACAACAATCCAATATGACGTACAACCAGGAACTGACCCACACCACATTCCTCACTCTAGCACTATATGACAACATATTCTTCTGCTGCATTATATGTATGAGGCAAATGGCATAAGTTGAAACAGGATCAATGGAGATCGCATCATAACCACGAATTGTTATAGGGTGGGACTGCTATAACCCAGGTACTTACTGTATATATGAGATTGGAACACCATAAATTATACTAACACTGCTTAACAAGTCAAATGCCCCTGAAGCCTGATTAACCAATGAAAATCGAACAACAAAAAAATAAAAATATCAGAATTTTTTTTTCTCCATTCCTCATTCTCTAATGAAGCATTAATAAGAGTGAAACATGTTAGGTTGATAAACATTTCATATTTGTTCTTTATCCTATGATTCTGTTGGATTACAATCCATATTTGATCCAAACTCATGCATGATGTTTACATAACCAATGAAAAAAAACACACAAAATTTAAAAACTGAAATATAGCTTCACATTATTTAACTTCTAAAAAAATTAGTTAAATTAAGTAGTGAAACATTAAATTTCTAAAAGTTTTCCTACAAGTTCCTTATTTTATCATGTGCATACACACACACACACACACACAATTGATCACTTGTTTCTGGGTATGTTCATCTGCTGGGGCAGTCAGATAATCCCTGTTGCAGATGCCTGCTCAAGCATATTTGTATTTCTTCAATACTCATTGAGCCAACATGTCCTGGGTATGACGATAAACAAAATCTGGCAGAAAGGCCTCTGATCAGGAGATTGAAGGATTTGAGGAGTGTAGAAACACCTTTAAATTGCTGTTGTTCACTGGTCCATCCTGATCGAGAGTAGTAGCACCTGCTAGGGTCCCAACAATGGGCAAATAGCGATCTCCCCCACACACCAAACAAAAGCAAAACACTATGATTTATAAAAATAGATTTTTATCATAACAACCAACAATACATTTTTAAAGCAAAATGACCAACAATACATTTTATGTATAGTTGAAGGCGTATAATTGCATTCAAAATATATTTAGTTGGAACCATAAAATGGTGTTCAGATTATTTAGATTTCAGCATTAAATAACCCATAGAGGTATTGATATGCCCCTAAACAAAACCAAACAACAGTTTTTGGGAAAATGCATATAATCTGGCATGCTCAAACCCTAAGTCACGATGACATCATTTTCAGGCACTTCCTAACAATGTCATTTGCTGGGATCCCTCAACGCAAGATAATATTCTCAACATTACATTTTTGACAAATCAACAGTGATGTAATTTGTACCCAGGTCTCATGGGCAGAACACTAAGATTTTAACTACTTGACTATAAGGTAACATCAATCATCTAAGTGACAAAATTTATATATGATCAGCATCAAACATATTCTTCAGAATAACAATTACCCTGCAAACATAACATCAGCATCTACAGGTGAGAACAGAAGGGTCAAAGAGGAAGACCATAAAATTGCCATGGTTTGTCTACCTTACATCAAGGGCTTATTGGAAAAGATTCAGAAGATCTACGCTCCATACAACATCAGGACAATATTCAGAAGCAGCTCCACTCTCTAGCAAAATCTCTGCCGAGTAAAGCTTAACACAGGATCAGGAACTGCATGTGTTCCATTCCTTGCAGTTATAGCAAAATATATAACAGTGAAACAAGCCACTCCTAAAGGACAATGTCATAGTGAGAGGTTAGACAATGAAATCGAGCATGGCTGATCATGTATTGAGGGAAAAGTGTAGTCATGAGCCCCTATGGAATGAAGTGAAAATACAGGACAAGAAAGTACACTGGAGAGTTTGAAAGAATAAGTGCATATGCTCAGCTATGAAGACTTCATAGGCCTAGCATAGAAATAAATACAATATGGGAGCCATTAATAAAGAAAGACAGCAAAGTCATCAGTAGGTAGGTTAGGTTTAAGGCTCCATGTTCAACACTACAGGAAAACAGCTGAGTAAATTAAAGTGTTTGCTCATGAATTTGTTGATATGATATTTGTGAGTTCAATTCCTGGGCCATGTAGTGTGTACAAGCAAGCACTAAGTGAGTAGTACTAAAAATAAGATCTAGGAGATATCCCTTAGACATGGGCAGTGGAACGAGAACAGTCTACCCTTTAGATTAAATAATGGATTCAGTTCAAAATTCTCTGCAGGTTACCCAGATTGATATACATCTGATGAAAGCCAGAGGGCACAACAGGTGATAACAACACATATGAGGACAATTGTCCAAATGTAAATAGTGTAAAAAAATAAATAAAATAAAAAATAAATACATAAAATAAAAAATAAATACATAAAATAAAAATAAATAAATACATAAAATAAAATAAATAAATACATAAAATAAATAAATAATGTCTACCAGCCTGCACAATTGAGAGTCATAATAAAGAAAATCTGCCCTCATACACACTACACATAAACATGCTAAAAAGTTCTTATCCCAATACAAAAATCCTAGCAAATGATCACACAACAGAATTTTTTTTATTTGTTCTGACTGGGTCCTTTTCAGCACCCACCTTTCAAGTGTGCGTGGAGATAGATATTTACTGTAACTCATTTCAGAGTACACAAGTATTATTCTAGTATTAAAAAAACTAAAAATCAATGAAAATAAAAAAAAAAAAAAAACTTCATGCTTCAGAATACACAAACTACTTGTTAGAACATGAATTTATATGACCCGACATCTAAAATTCCTTTGCTGTTAAAACTGCCCACAAATCCAAGATAATCCCACAAAATTATAGAAAAAAAAATCTCCCAAACACGGCAGAACAAAAGAAAGAGATTTGGTGGTCCTTACAATGTCAGGGTGATAATTGAAATTATATGAGAATGAGAGGTGGGGGATAGTCATAGAATAAAACATAGTATCTTCAGCTTGATTGTTATAGTCACACCATTTCAGCTGTTTCTTAGATGAGAAATTATCATTATTATACATTGATCTAGTCAGACTCGTATCCTCATCTTGGTTGTTGTCACAACATTTCAAGTTTCTGAGAAAAGGAATCATCTTTTAATGTTACTTATGTGCTCTATATTTCTTCAAGCATCTATCAGTTTGGGCAAACTGCCAAGAATTTTGAACTCAACACTTTATTAAATCTACAGGGAGATTTTTCTCATTCTGATATGCACAGCAGGAAATATATCAATTAACTCTTCTTGTTGACTATCAAAAAATAAGATACATCCTCATCTCTGGCACAAAGAGCCATAAATCAAATAAAATTTTCAGTTCAAAATTCTCAGCAGATTACCTTACATCAGACACCTGAAGAAGGCCAGAAAGTGCAACAACTGAAACTTAGTAACTATTACAATCAATACAAGGCCACTCATCCAAACAGATTACAAAAAGCAATAGATTATAATCTTAAGTTAATTCAGAAATATTCTAGATTTCAGAATTTTGAATTAAATTATGATATTGATTGAAAATAACAATCAGATCAAATGATTTTATTACTAGACAAACTAACTTGACCACTTAGGATTTTTCTAGGACTTAACAGAAAAAAAAAATAATTTTAGAGTTTGTCATCAGAAGCCATATGACCGCACCCAAATTAATACTGCCAGCTTTCTCCTCCACCCCACTCACTTATTTTTGTGAATTCGTGAACGGAATGGGTGGGGACAAAAAAATAAAATCAATTAAAAAGTAGAAATTCAATCTGAGTTATTTGGGTGTGAGTTCCACGAGAGAATTACAATCGCCCGGTGAGGATATTAAAAAATAAATAAAATCACAGCTGGAAGAAAAGTAACAATGTTTAATTTTAAAAAGCCACCCAATTAGGAAGAGTTAAGAAATTTTATATATTGCGTACTGTACGAAAGAGAAAAGATAAACTTTTTAGAAATACCAGGCACGGAGTCTATCGGAGCGCGATGGTGTGCAAGCAGACCAATTCACTGTAGTTCACCAGACTGTAGTGGCCTTGTGCCAGTCTAAGCAAAGCTTTGTAAATACCAAATATAGCAAAAATAAACGAGCTCATTCAAAAATAGAAAGTCCATTAAAAATTCTGACCGAATCTGTTTTTTAGTAAAACAATCAATTTATTGTTTTATGAATGAAAAATTGAAAATGACTTGTTATTGCTAGAATTATTTACTAACACTTCTCTTGTCACCGACGTTTTATATTTTAGTTAATCTTGCAAAAATAATAAGAAAAAACAAAAAACTATCGTTTTGTTAACTTAAAACTAAAAGTAAATAATTAAGGATTCATTTTTATTTACAATTAGTTTTTCTTTGTATATATTTCATTTTTAATTAGTAAAAAAATCTTAAAGACCGTATTATTATTTCTCACTCAGTAAAAAAATGTTTTTAAAATTGTATGTTTTTTTTTTCTTTCTCTAATAAAAATATGATCAGAGTGAAATTTATTTATCTTCAATATTTATTTTAGTTTTCCTGTCATTGTAAACATGTGAATAAAAGTGTTTGTGTAATTGAATACAAACAAACTAAACTTCATAAATTTAAAATTAACATGAAAAAGATTGGCTGACTGGTAGTTTTTAGTTCATGCTTTTTAGTAAGAGACAAGAAAATTGTAAATTCGGCAATGACTTTTTTTCACTTAAAGAAAAAGAAAAATAGATTTATGTAGTTTAAGTTCTGGGATTTTAGTGTGAAAAAATCTGTAATGTAGAATATTATTATAAAAAGTTATATAAACAAACTTTTTGAATACATTTTTATTTTAATATTTTTTAAAAGAATTTAAAAAGCGGCAATTTATAAGTAAAAAAAAAAGTACTAGTTTTCGAGTTTACTGTTTTTAGTGGTGACTAAAAATAACAAAAAATAAATCTTCACACTCTTTTTTTTTTTATCCATATTATTTTCATGTCAGGAATTATTTTCCTTTATCAGATTCTGTCAATGACAAATAATGCAGGTGTAATTAATTAAAACAATAACGATCGCTTCTTGTTTCAACATTTGTTTCCATGTACGGTCTAAAGTTTTGGCAGATTTAAAAAAAAAAAATGTAGTAAGTAAAATTAAAATTTACATGTTTAATACCAAAAAATTAAATTAAAAAAAAAAAAGGTTCGTTATATTAGTAAAAAAAACTACATTTTTGAACGATAAAGCAATAAAAATGCAACATGTCACTTTTATTTATTTTTTTATGCAGAAGTGATATTGTTTTTAAAATTAAAACATCTATTTACAAAATAAAGACAATTTTTCCTTCTTATTCATTTTTACACAGGTAAAAAAAAAAGTGAAGTAACATTTTTTTTTATTCCGACTCGATAAACATTTAAAGAAAAAATAAAACTCAAGACAGGGAGGGAAAAATGAAAAAATTAAAATAGTTATTTATGCCAAAATGGATTTTCTTTTTACCAAATCGAACATCTGATTTAATAATCAAACATTCAAAAAACAAAAACAAGAAAACCACTTAAATTGATAACTTACCAGCCATCTACCCACACCCGGGTTTGTTTCTTTTCCCGTTCCATGTTGTTGTTAAGATATCTTCCGTGTGAAATGCTCGATACACAAAAAATGTTCGCTATTGGAAATAAAAAATCCTGTTACTACTTCTCATACACGTTTAACTTTCACTGCTTCCCTTTCTCTCACTGACTCGATACCTTCAGTGTCAAAATATTTTATACTTGGTGAGAGAAGGGGAGAAAAAGTTGATGAGCAGCAGGAGTTACGACAACCTTTCACCTCCAGATGACAGGACGAGGAGAAAGACTTGCTTATCTCCCTTTTCGTTAATCAATTGTCTTGCATTACTTATCTACCTTGATAAGATTATTTATTTATTGCCATTTTAAATCAATTTGTATTTATTTTCAGAATTATTTCTGGGAAATTTAACTATATATATATATATATATATATATATATATATATATATATATATATATATATATATATATATATATATAATAATTGTGTATTTGGGCAGCAGTCCCTATTTTATATAAATTTCATTAAAAACTGACAAGGTACTATGGATAAGCTTTTTATTTAATTTTTTTTTAAATTTTTCTTTATAATTTTTTTCTGGACATATAAAGTGTGTCAAAATTGTCCAAATGTTCTGTATGTCCAAGTGCTTTCAGCTATTTTTTAGTCATTTTCAAGGATGTGTTTTATTTCATTTTTAACTGAAAGTGTAGATTTTATGTATGCATATTTATGACCCAAAAAAAAAAAACATTTATGCAAAACACAAGAAAAATTTATATAAAAAGCTTAACGCAGTATTTTTTGTCATTCATCTTTAATAAAACTTTTGTGTATATATATATATATATATATATATATATATAAATGAAAATACAAAAAGGAAAAATGTTTTATGTCAACATGATTCATTGCATGGGAAAATTTATAAAATACCTCATGGAACAAAATGCACTGGTATAAAAAGTTTTCCTCTTGTCTATTATATTTTTTTATATATATATATATATATATATATATATATATATATATATATATATATATATATATATATATATACACACACACACACACACACACACATATATGTATAGGAAATGGATTAAAACCAACATATTGTTATTTTTCATTTACATATATGTGTCCATAGGGGATGCTGGTTCGAATCCTGCTAGAGGACGCATATCTTTCTGACAAGATTTCTCAAATATTCAGGCTGCTAGATGTAATTAGACAAAAAATACTGTTTAATTAAAAAATGTTTAAATAAAATAAATTAATAATTATATATATATATATATATATATCTTATTATTCTTCAGTTTTTATTTTTCTTAAACATTGAAATTAATAACAATCAGCCAAGATCGAGAAGTCCTACAAAATGAAAATGGTGCCAACTTGGTAAGGGCACATTTTGGTTATAGGAGTGGTTTCTATGCAGTTTGTTTTCATTGGTTGGGTAGATATCATGTTTTTTTTTTTTTTGGGGGGGTTGTGTTTATGTGTATGTGTGTGTGTGTGTGTGTGTGTGTTTGTGTGTGAATTCTAGTGGACATTTTTTTATGTCTGTCTTGTAGTGTATGTATGTTTGTGTGTGTGTGTTTAATTCAAATAGATAGCAGTAGGAATGAATGGAAAACTAAAAAGCGCCACTAGAATTCAGACACATACATAAACACACCCTCCTACACTAACACCGCAAGATATAAACATGTGAAATCTATATGGCCAGTGGAAATAAGCAGTATAGAATTTGAAACTATTTTTTGCAGTGTTGCATCACTGCATCATGATATTGACATACTGTGGCTAGAGAAATATCTATTGAAAGTAGTACCCTCCTCAAGGCATTAAAATTAGGGCCCTACATAAACATAGCTGATACCCTATCAAAGTGCAAAGAAGATTTACTAGTTCAAAAATACAAGTCAAGCCTATTAATATATCTAATAAATTATGATAATCATAATAACATCATCATCCTCATGAAATTGACTGCAGTCAGGCATCCATGGCCAGTTTTCTCCATGCATCACAGCCCTCTATTGCAGTGTGCACTTAGTTTTTTAATAAGTTTGTATCTTCAATCATATGGTCAGTGGAGGTATGTGCTTGTCTCCCACAACATTGTTTCCTCTGGGTTGCTTCTCAGAGTAAGACTTTGTGAATGATTTCGTTTGCTTCTCCACTAAATCATACTCTTGTCTCAGTAGTCATTAGCATTTGCAAGTCACCATAGAATATTTGGTTAGACATATGTGGCTGATGACTGACATTTTCCATTACTCACCAACATCTTCATGTTAGCCCAATCTACAGGATGTCCAGTAAAAAAGTGACAAATTTATTATCACTGTTTTATCTTTCAGGAATAATTGACCTTGAATAACCTTGAATATTCATGAGCTTGAATAATCATTCAACTCTCACATAATTACTTAACTCTGATTTGTTCTTTTATGATCGATTAATTGCTAATCAATATTGTGACTCATCATGTAAAGTTTATTTGCAGACAACTTTCATCTTTTATTCTGCCCTTCTTGTATAACTAAACAACTCACTGATTTTGAGCGTGAAGTTACCGTACTTTTCAAAGAACATCCAACATGGGGATTGAGGAAATGGACAGAAATTCTTCCTGAATTTTTCAGTCATATTAGTTGTCACCAGTTTTCAACAGTTGTCTTTTATCTTTCTGAATTTACGTTTTTTTTTTTTCCTGGGCACCCTGCAGTTTCTTGTTCCCTTTATTAGAGCTAGATGAGTAACCGCTGACTGGATTGGTTCCCAGAGTAAGACTTTGTGAATGATTTCTGTTAAGGGGTCCACCCTTTTTTATACAAGTGGACTTGCCCAGTGTGTACTTGTACTGCTGCCAGTGAATACCCATGAGTGAGACAGTGAGGGAGTGATACAGTGAGGGAGTGAGAGTGTGAGGTAACCGTTTTGTAGGAGTCACAGTTGCGAGCACGTAGATTCAGAAGTAAGTCATACTTCGATACTGAATTTCCCAGACTGTATATATATTCTTATTGCGACTAACCGCATTTCTGGATCTACTAACCGTATTACCAATTGTATTATTACGTCAATACATTTATTTGCTATATTTCTGCGTTTGTCATTCATTTGAGACCAGATTTCATCCCGGAATCCACAACAATTTCGTTTATGCTTCTTCACTGAATCATATTCTCATCTCAGTAGTCATCAACATTAGGCAAGTCACCATAAGATAACTGGTTAGTCATATGTGGCTGCTGACATTTTCCATCACTCCCAACATCTTTGTATTAGCCCAATCTAGTTTTTTGTCCCCACCCTTCATTAAAGTTAGGCTTATAGCCATATCAAGTTGAAACACCGGATCTTATACAGTCACTAAAGTTAAGCAATGTTGAGCCTGGTCAGTACCTAAATGGGTGACCACTTGAAAACAATTGAAACAATGGTTCTCATACAATCACTGAAGTTAAGTAATGTTGACCCTGGACAGTACCTACAAGGGTGACCACATAGAAATACTACATGCTGTTAGCTTGGATATGGGAGTTGATATGGCTTACAGCTATATCATGTTGAAACACTGGCTCTCATATGATCACCAATGTTAAGCAATATCAAGACTGGTCATAACCTAGTTGGGTGGCCACTTGGGAACACCAGGTAAGCTTGGATATGCAAGTGGTGTAATGGATAATAGCTAGGAATTATCAGCTCCCCAAGGTCCAATTGCAATTGGGTTCGTTATATTCACTTACGCACAAATAACCTTAGGAAAGTTATAAATCCACCTCTTCTCCCACCAATTATGGGTCAATTAGTGGAACTTGTATCAGTAAATAATTATTATCTCCCCCCAAAATTCTTACAATCTAAAAATATTTTCTGGCTTTAAATAACCTGCAAAAGGGTTGATAAGCCATAAAAATCAAATCAATCAATCATTAGAGCTGATACACTACAGTCAAACAGAAGGACTGTTTCCACAGTTGCTATGAGGAATTCAAGTTTGATTTCAGATGTTAAACATGATTTCTATTTTGTTTAAATCTTTTACAGTGATGTCCAAGCCTTTCCAATTCTGACAGCTAAAAACTTGCTACATGAATTCATTCAGGAGCTAAGATACAGAAAGTCATTTACTTACTTGAAGGTGATGTCCTCAGCTTTCTCTTTATTGTAAAGCATTTACTCATTTTATATATCTACAGTTTAATTTACTTGGCAGCATTTTTGATTCAATTCAGAAGCATCTGTGCTTGCTTCAGTGTATCAGACTCTAACTCATCATTTTTCAAACATTTTTTTTACTGCAACCCAAAGCAATTATTTACATTATTCGGACTATTGTCCTCATCTTTGTTGCCATATTTATCACAACGTTTCGGCCATTGTACGCTCCGGCCTTCTTCAGGTGGTTGGAATTTCGAACTGATCCCTTTATTTCACTCACTGGGGTAGACTGTTCTAGTTCCACATGCCATGTTTGATGGATGTCACTTATCATTTATCTCCTGCTAATTTCCCTCTGAAAATAAATATTATATATGTAAATAATGTACATAATACCTCATCTCAGAAATATAGACAAGCCCAAAGCAAGTATCACTTTTTGCATTGCGACTTATTATACCTCCGTGTAATAAATCAAAGACAAACTCTGTTCACAAGGTTCATTTAACATCAACAATTTACATGTATATTTCTTATGATTCACACATACTAGAATTGTATGTATCTATTTGTATTATCTATTTGTATGAATATAAAATTATTACTTTTAGAAAAACAAATTAAAAGGAAATTTTATAATATTAGGTGTCTCAAAAGAAGTCAAGTTTGCTAAGGTTATCATCCTTAACAACATTCATAGAAGTTGCATTTTAAGATGTATCTGTTAATGTTGATGGTTCTCCTGTTCCTTCATTGTTCTTCTTTTTTCAAAAGATTGTTTCTGAAATCTTCAAACAGAACAATTTACAAGTATTACAGGAACAAGTTAAAAAACAAACAAACTCATTCTTAAATT